AGGCCAAATGTTAGTCGCCTCAGGCGACCGGGCACCGTTAGAGCACAGCCTTGTCACAGAAAGCACATACATTGTACCTTAGATTTTTTTCTAACAGGGTGTTTGGAATTGCGCCAAAAAAAAACAATTTTTTTAAATCTTTAATCATGATTTCTAAGAAATTCTTAATGGAAATTAAAATTAAAGCATGTTATCATATAGACTTTGAAACTGCTCCAAGTAAAGGAGATTTTCTTCTTGGACCATGACAGTTTGTTTATATAGTAATAACTTGACTTTTTGTGCAAATGAGGAGAATTTTGAAATCATGTGAAACACTCTTAAGCTCATGAATTAAAGGCTGTTTGTAGTATTTTCATTCATGTGTTATTTAACTCACAAGCATGCTTGTATAAATATTTTAATTAAATGGTTGATTTGGAAAATAATTAAGATATTATGTATGGTTTTTTTTAGAGATCTAGTATGTCAGAGGCATTGAAGATGGACTTGTATTTCAAGAAGGACTATCTTCAGCACACAGGAAGGTAGTAAACATGAAATCATTGCAGATTGGTTACCATGATGATATTTTCAATTTTTTAGGAGTAAGATAAAAACATGGGTGAAACCTATGTATTCTTGTATTTCCTAATTTCCAACAAAGAAACAGTGGAGGTCTCTTGCTAACTTGTACTGAATTATTACAATTATTACAGACATAAGTGGCAGGAAAATGGGTTATTGTAACAGTTGTGCATTTGATAGTGGTCCTCTACATTTGGAGTTTCCAAGTTGCACTATTAAAGTCAGAAAGAAAAGCTGAAGAAAACAAAAACTAAGCCTTAATTCATCACATTTATTGTGGGTGCAAGAGTTCATACAAACTCTGAGAAATGTAAGAACAAATAAGTGAAAATCCAGGATCATAATATCTTTGTTCTTATGCCTTTCTCCCATTGTTAAATGCATGTGCTGGCATTTGTAGTTTCTAGGATTAAATGGATTTTAGAATGGACAATTTGAAATCTGTATCCTGACTAATGTTGTAATTTAATTTAGCTTCAAAGAGAGAGGTGCCAGAAACACACTTCTGATGTTGTCTAAAGTAGGTACTCAAAATTCATAGTCAAATACATTTGTTTGATATTACTCAACCTTTTTCTCCCAATAAGAGGACAAGTTGTATCAGTGACCATGCCTGTCCCTTAAAGTCTCACATGGAATCTGAGAGTGTAAATTTGTTATTTGATAATTTTAGTAGGTCCAGCTTTTGCTTTAAAGACTGTTGAAGAAGAAAACATTGTAATTTATTTCAGCTTAAGATCTAGTAAGTTTAACTGATATAGTACTTGAAAAATGGTCAGTAGAAACCAGAAACACTTTTCTTCATATCTTGAATATAAGCAGAAAAGGTCCATTTTAAGCTCAATTTTACTTTTCCATAGGAGCAAAAGGAAAAAGGTGTAATTGCAGCATCAGCTGGGAACCATGCCCTTGCATTATCATATCATGGGAGAGATCTGGGGATACCTGTTACTGTTGTTATGCCATTGAATGCTCCCATTATGAAGATCTCAGCTTGTAGGAAACATCAAGCTTCAGTACATGTGAATGGAGCTGATCTTATAGAGGTCAGAGTTAGCAATCATTGTTTTCTTTTACTAGTAAAAAAAACTTGATCAAATATGTTCTTGCTATAAAATCAGATAACAAAAAAAAATTTCACTTTGTGTCCAAAAGATTAAACCTCAGGCATTGGTATCTGCTGTGTATAATAATAATATTAGAGCAGCTGAGCTTGTTTTTTGGCATAAAACACTGTTGTATTTTGTGCACTTACATGTTTGTAACTTGTAAAAAAGAGAAGTGCAAAAGTAAAAGCAATGCTGGAATTTACACTGTGTCTAGCTATAAGGAGGAAATATGATGCAAAGACAACTACTACACAATTTGGAAATCTGATCTTAAAAGGAAATCAAGTTGATCACCCACATATGCTAGATGGACTTTTTATCTTTATTTTGTTCCAGTAGAGATTACTACAGCTTATTCAGCTGGCCAGGCCATGTTACACACTTCCAATTAGAGAGACTCTGTTCAACAATAAGCTTTATAATATTTCTTTTAAATCAAGCCTGAATGGCAAAGTAAATTGGGAATGTCTAAATTTGCTGTTCAGAATCTTGCTGAATAAGTGAAAAAATGCTTAACATGAGTCATCAATGACTGTTTTAGGTCAAGTTTATCTTTCAAGCTTGTGCCAATCTGGTGCAGGGTTACTTATGGTGCTCATGATGTTATGGATTTTTGGAAGGGGGGAGGGGGGGAGGGAGGGAGTACTTAGGTCAATTTTTGCTGGGTATGTGCTGCTGGCCTCTCAGAATCCCTTCTACAATAAAGCAAATGTAACAACTTTTTAAAGGCAAATTTTCTATTTTTAAACCTTTACTTACTGCAATCTTGTAACCCCATAGATCCCAAAAAATTTGCGATCCCATTCTAATAACTCTATTGAAAATGTAATCCCATTATCATCTGTCTGGTTGTGAAAATGGAACCACATCCAGCGGCACATCCCATTAGCCTCTTTCTAGGAAGTATCCTCCGCCCCTCCCCCTGGGTGGGCAATTGTCACATGTTTGAAAGATTAACTGTACCATATTCAACTTGATTTCTTTGAGTTTTCACAAAGATTTTGAATATGTGTCTGTTCTGTTGTAGTAAGTTGCATTAAAATGGTTTGCAAATGTCTCTAAACAGTCCAAAGAAATTTCCCTCAAGATGGCGAAGGCAAACGGATTAGCTTACATTAACGGGTAAGGAAACTCAAATTCAGGTCTTTTCTATTTGCTCGGTGATATATCTTGTAATGGAAGTTTCTTTCAGGTATGATCATCCTCACATCCTATCAGGCCAAGGGACGCTGGGTTTAGAAATTGTAGAGGAAGTTCCCGACCTAGAGGCAGTTGTGATTCCTGTGGGCGGTGGAGGCCTATTGGCAGGTGTTGCTGTGGCAGTTAAGGGGTTACGCCCTGACGTGCAGATAATAGTAAGAGAAAATTATTAACCTTCCAACTGAACCTTTTTGTTTCAAAATGCTTAAATTTTGTTTTTCTATCCTAAAGTAACAGCCCTCCCTATTGTCTCAGGAAATAGAGAAGGTTGAGTTAGTAAAATAAAGCGCGATGATAAACGGCGCGATAGTAGC